TTGGGGCCTCAAAATAAAAGAGAATCATGCCATTCCAAGGTGTGTGTGTTAGGACTCTTTTACAGGCAACTAGAAATTCTTATGATAATGTCACAGCAGAACTGAACCTTACTGATTTTGATGTTGAAATAATAAAAGCATTAATTGAGACACGGGGAAAAAAAATCACAATTTTTTGAAAATAAAATGCTGTTTTGATGTCTTATTAAACACACAAAAAAAGTTTCACTTGTTATTGTCTCCTGTATTTTGTTGTTAATTCACCTACAACTACATGTATTGGGGACAAGGACTAGGAAAGCAATTCTGCTTCTTTCATTTAGGTTTCTGTGTGTCTGTGTGTCTCTCCTTTCCATCATCAGAGTGGGAAGGGGCATTGGAAGTTGTCTGGTCTGAGACAGCATGTGAGGAACAGTTGGCTTCCATAAATGCACCTACAGTTTCTGCGGGAACCCCTCTATGACAGACCACACATCATCACAAGGTTGATGGCAATCATTTGAGACATTCTTTTTCTGTTTATTTAAAACCTGACTTCCTATAACTTTTACCTTAGTTTTGCTTTCTATACATTAAAAAAAAGTTATGGCAACCCTTCAATGTCAACCTTTTCAAGTAACTGAAAAGAATTAAAAGATTGGGGCCCCAATCTTACTTTTTCCATATTTAACACATTCTATTCTCTAATGATTCTTCCTGGGAAGGATTTGAGACCATTCACCATCCTGTATTTCTCTGCTGCATAAGCTCGAGTTGGAGTTCACTGTTATTATCACGGTTATTAAACAGCTCTCGTTTATTAAGATGTGCCACATCTCAGAGGTGTTTAAAGAAGTTATTTGCTTTAATCTTCTCAATAAGAGAAGGCAAGCATTTTCACCCCCATTTTTCTGTTGAAGAAACGCAGGTTCAGAAAGCTGAAGGAAGTTCCCTGAAATCACATGGGTTACCAGTGGACAAGACCACACCTACCCCAGTCTGGTGGCTTTGAAGGCTTATCTCATGTGAGTGAAACACAGCCCTGCAGGCAGGATCTGCCCAGGGCAGGGAATGGGACAGCCTGCTGCCTTCTGCAAACGGAGCACTACACTTCCACGGAAGCCGCCTGTGATCCTATGATCGGTTTTGACAACTGCACCACACTGTTGGCTCATGTTGAGCTTGTAATCAATGTAAATCTCGAAATGACTTTTACCCAAATTGTTACTAAGTCTGACTGTCTGACCACTCCTCTGCCCAAATACATTTCTATTTTGCACTTGATCCTTCCTAATAGAGGGAAGTTCTACCTCCACTCCTGCTAAACATTGGCCAGCCAGCTCTGCTTGAGTGGCCCATACGATCCACTTCACAATAAGACTACATTCTGACACTCGGGGCATTCGTCTCTTTTAAAGCTCTGTATTGCTGAAAACAATAATTGTTTGGCTGTGTTTCCGTGCCTTCATCCAAGACTGATAAAAAATCAGTTTTGAGGAGAGGGAACATGGAAAGACATCTTCCCCAGGTTCCAACCTCCATATACCTGTTATGCCCATGTGTCCGGTGCCAGCCAAGCTCTACTTTCCACAGTTTATATCAATAACCAAGAGATATTCTGAATATGCTTTCTCAACTAGCATCTCATTGCCACTTTGAGAATCA